CACACACACACACACACATATATCCCACACACATATGCACAGAAGTGAGGAGAAGTTGATGGACACGGAGCTGCTGGTCCCTCTGAGATCACCACATTCTCCATGTGCCATTAACCTCAAAGATGGATGGAGGGAGGGAGGCGGTGGCAGAGTGGTAATCAAGAAGATGGAGAGAAATCTCAGTGGGACGCTAACATTTTGGGGTGATTACTCTGGATGTAATAATATTACTGAGCCTCATGGCAGACTAAACCAATACAGTATAAATGGTAAATATTACTGTTTTTAAAAAGTAGAGGAAAGGCATCTTCACTTGTCAAAGCTACAAAGAAATCTGTGAATTTTTTTAAAAACTCATGGGAAACGTGTGCATCCCACTTCGATTCATAAGGAGAAGAATGGAGTAAAGTAAAAAGGAAATGTTTTTTGAGAAAGGGAAGGAACAGGATGAACGAAGAATGCAAAGCAAGAGAGGTGGCCATTCTTCTTTTAAATGTTTATTTGTCTAAGACCCAACAGTCAATCAATCAAGAGGCACCAAATTGTGCATAGATGTAGTTCAATTATTATTTCATCAAGATCCATGAATTATTTTCTAAGAAATGTGTGAACATTTTTTAGATGCCAAGTCATACAATCTTAAAGAAAATGATAACAACTGCAAAATGTTATGGGTTCCTCCCTGACCCATAATACATCCTTCTACCAAATTTTTGTTTTTTGTGTAATCTTACTTACTAACACTTGAAAAAAAAATCTTCCTTGAAAGGTAAATATGAGTGAACAAGGACAGAAACCTTTAAAAAAATGAGATAACAGCTCCAGAATCCCAAACTTAGAACATAGTGACGTGAAATAAATTAATTCTTAAAATAATCAATCATATCAAGTGGACGAGAACGAGCGGCTGAGGACGTGTGTGTGAGGTGAGGACAGGGCCAGTAGTGCTTGTCGACACGCCAGCAGACAAGTTCTTCCCCTGACGCAGAGCAAGGATCAGTTTACCCTCTACTGGTTTCACAGCTCTGTTGCAACACACACACCAGAATGTTTTTTTTTTTTAAATATAAATTGCTATGGTATTTTTACTTACTCTCCATACACTGGAAACTGAACTCAGTCGTGTCAGGTTATTAAAATCCACTCTGGCACACACAGCAGTTTCATGCACCACGTCAACGTACTTTTCAGATTGCAAATGTTGCCCCCACCGCCTCCACTGTTTCCAAGATAAATACAGGGCTGCAAGAAAAGTAACAATGACAAGGAGAGAGGGGGTGAGAGAGTGTTTAAGCAATGCAACAACTATATATGGAAAGTTAAAGGTAAATAGGTAACACTATAACTATTTGTTGTAAGACCTAAACTGAGTGTGTTCTCTTTTGGGAACTAAAATGCCACTTAGAGCACAAACCTCTGCCAAGCCCCAACAGTCCTCTTATGAAACCACATTTAAATTCAATCGATTTTTATTTGGATCTGCATCACATCTCACACACTGATAAATATCAGTCCAATTATTCTCTTAGAAGTCAACAAAAATGTTTGAAGACGCCCTGTCTTGCAATGTTAAAGAAAGTGCTGATTGTCTGGAGCCACAACAAAATGTGATGTGTTCTTCCTAGTGTCAGGCCCAATTGCATAATCCTGCTAAAAAACAAACAAGAAAGATGCTGAGACAGTGCATTCCTCCGCCAAGGCTAATGCCCTATCTTGCCATGTCCTAGAAAAGTGAAAACTTTAAAATTGTATAGCCTCTTCTATGGGTGATGCCCCACCCCTCCACAAAATGTTGGTAGAGTTTGCGTGATCATGCTCACAAACAAATGAGAGATGAGAAATGAAAACATAACCTTCATGATGGAGTAGTAAACCAGTGGAAGTCCCGTCCCATGAGGCTGATAAAAGTTGTTTGTAAAATAATTGTTAGGGACAAATATTCATTGCAAATACATCTCTAGGCTAATCCACTGACTAGAGCACTCATGGTGATAAAGACAAACTATTCTGCATTGTATTGATGACATTATAACACGATGAAGAATTATGGTTTGTGACAAGACTGACAAGCCGATGGTTGTGTTGATATGAGAACTCTTCAGGCAGTCATCAGTGAGGAACTAACATTGTGAGCGACAAGCAGCGTTTCTCATCCATTGGCCTAAAATGGATTCCCTTTTCGTGATGTCGGCGGTGACTTCTGGGAAACCCGGTCCACTGCTTGGCAAGCAGAAAAGGTGTCATGGATTGGCATATCCTCGTTTCACAACATACCGTTGAGAGTTATACCAAAGAATGCGTGAAGGGAAAGTCCAGCAGACTTGGGTCCATGTGGTGCGTTGGTGTGAATTCAGAACGATTCACAGAGGTTAGTGCTTAATTTCCGAAGTCTTCCTGCCGAAGCGTGCCAACAAAGATATAGATACTTTTTTTATTTACACTCAGTGAACTCTGCTGCCATGTGAAACAAAAAGTTGAACTACTGTTTCACGCTACATTTCAACTGAAGAAGAAGTAGACCCTAACCTCACAACTTATCCTGCTGTGGATTGCAAAAAAACTGGAAATTGTCATATTTGAGGACCACTGAAAGAGACACAAGTTGGAGTTAACAAGTTTTCCATGGCCTCTCAAAATCCCAAAGTGTGGCTCTGACAGCTCGGAGGAACGATAGAGTGATATTAGCATGTGATTGCTCTGTGCTCTCATCACTTGACAGATTCCAGTGGGCCAGGGCAGCTTCAGTTACAGCAGAGAGACACAGGATGAGGGAGGCAGGAGGGGAGAGAGAGCGACAGGTTACAGAGGTCGCACCACCAGAGGGACACAAGGAATGAGAGGGGTGACAGTTAGTACCTCTCTCTCTCTCTTTGACACACACACACACACACACACACACACACACACACACACACACACACACACACACACACAAACCTGTCATGGAAAATTAACCTAATACCTTCAGGCCTCCAGAGATGTTAGGAAACTGAGTGTGATGGTGTGTATGTACCACATGTCACTGTCCTGAACTGAGTTCAGTGATTATTCACCTGTTTACAATGGTGTGGTTTAAATCCTCTTACCTGCCATGATTGGTGAAATATGTAAGCAAATATCAGTGTAAGCTTGCAACTTCTAAGACATTCTCACGTCAGAAAAATCCAAGAGGCTATAAATATTTGTCACATAACATCTGCCCCCATGTGTGATTTTCTTCTCAACCATGAAAGAAATAGAGGCTTAAACGGGTTTTACTCCCCGCAAGATAACTGAGTTGTGTCATTATGGCCTGTTTGAGTGTGTATCTGTGTGTCAGCGTGCTCAGGGTGTGTCCTGGGAAGATGATGTGAGAGCCAACATTTGGTTAGGTTTTCAGACCACGAGCTTTGGTGTCACTGCAGATCCTAAAACACACCTCCCACTACTGGGGGGGAGTGGGCAAGCAAAGAGGAAAGTGCCTGTGTGTATGTGTGTTTGTGTGTGTGCATCAAGAAGCTCACTGCATTGATGACAGTAAATCTGTTTCTTTAGCTCATATCCATAGGCTAAGTCTAGGAAGTATTTTTGTTGGATTATTAGTGGCATAGCAGTGTATTTTTTTCAATTGATTACACACACACCCAGTTGTAAATCTGCACCAGGTCCCTTTTACAGTAAAGCTCCCAGCACAGCTCATGGAGCTGTACTGTGGGCTCCTCTCTCTCTCTCTCTCTCTCTCTGTTTTCTGCTTTTCTTCTTTTCTTCTTTCCACCTCCCTCTCTTCTCTTTACTACCAGACAGGATAAATGCAGGAATAAAAGGAGAGAGAGGTGGTAAGGGAATAAATGTGGAAAATGGAGAGCGAGTGAGAAAATTTGGTAAAAATCTAAGAAAGGCAGCGAGTGGGAAAGAGATAGTGGTAGAAGAGGGTGAGGCAAAAGAGAGAGAAAGGGGGTGAGTGAAACCGCTCTTTAATCAGTGAGGGGATATATGGAGGCGGGCAGAGGTGCCTACTGTAATCCGATACACGTGCGCGCGCGGCGTGCATGCGCGCCGAGACAGGGGACTGAGTGAGCAGTCCAACACGCTGCCACTAACCCGGCGGAGATCGGAGAGGAAGGAGCGGAGCGCACTGCCGGAGCGGCTGGAAGAGAGAGGGGGACAGAGGGAGAGAGACATTTGTTTAGCACAGAGAGAGAAAGAGAGAGAGGGAGACAGAGACGCGTGTTTGAGCAGAGAAAAGCTCAGTTTGGATGAGGAGCAGAGCGGAGAGGCTGCACGTTTATTTTCTCCCGATCAGCTTTTACGCACGCACACCGGTGCTGCCTCTTCCGAGAGATCTCCGCCTGCGTCCCGGGCGCAGGAAACGGAACCGTTCATTATCCGGACTTTATCATCACAGAACAATCGATGGGACAACATTTTCGTTTCTTTAATCGCAGGTGTTTTCACCAAGTAGACTCGCCACTTGGAGAGTGAGCCACGGGAGAAGATCTGGGAATATTTGATCGAAACGAACAGGGAAAGACGCGTGGGACTTTTGTCTTTATTTACCAAACTTATTTTAGTAGATTATTTTCATGGTTCCTGGTGTCTTCAAACAAGTGATTTTTTACTTTGTTTGAATTTTATAATATCAGTCTCAGCTGTGTCAGGTCTGTATTCCCACGCGCGTTTTGCCTGACACATGGACCCGGTGCTGTCGACATGGATTTCGCGACTTTAAAGATGTGTTTACCGGACGAACTGCGCTGACTCCAGGCCAGTTTCCCCGACAGAAGAAGTAGTGCCATACAAACTGACACATCCTACAAGAACATTGCAGTTTTAACCACTTTGATATTGTTGGAGAGCACAGCCCGGCATTTGGAGAGGAGTTTGGGCACCGGTCGTGTTGCGCGATAAATAGAAAACTGTGGGAAAGGAGACTGTAGGATCACAAACTTCTCCCACATTAAAACCACAGAAGAAGATAAGAAGTGACTTTTTTCCGCATTAGAGGAGAGAAGATGGATGTACTCATATGGCTCTGTGGATGTTTACTGGCTTTTCTTTCGCCTCCAGTCAGAGCAGAAGAAGGAGGTAGGTTTGACACTTTCCCTGCATGCCCGCTTTAATCCGTGTCACTTGTAGGTGCTAAATGGAAGTTAAACCGCTTCTTTTTCGAAAGAGGCACCTCTCACACCCAAGAAAATCTATTTCCCCTTCAAACCAAAATGCGTAATCAGCGTAAAAATTACATCCTGGAGAAATAACCATTACACATTTTCTTATTACATGCGCTTCCCTAACATATATTTCCCTTTTAAATAAAACAATAATAAATAAAGTGCGGAGGGACACTATTATTCAAGCTTTAAGACAATCAGGAGAAAGACCCCGGCTATAAGGGCCATTCTCAGAATTCCTCGCTCGACTGGCTTTCACACCAGAGGTGACGGAGTAAAATAGAAAAAGTAATCAACCTCTAATGATTAAACTAAATATGCTAATTTTCTCACAACAACGAGTTTTAAAGTAATTTCTCTGATTGGCTCGAGGCCCGGTGCCACATGTTTCTTTACGCAGCAAACTTTCTAACAGTGCGATCTTTTCAAATAAAGTATCAGTGTCCCACCCTGCTGCCGGTGGTGGTGTCAGGACTCGTTCTCTGGAACATCTTTATCATATTCTTTGGATTTTAATCTGCAGCTTGATCAACTACTGGTCTCCGGAGAGCTATTCAATAATGATAAAATCACTATAATGTTCCTGTTATGTTCCTACCGGGACTAACTACCGGTGTTAGCTGGTGCGTAAGGTTCAGACTCGGGAGGTCATATGTCACCTTATCGCGCTTGTTTTATCTCAATATGTCTCACTATATGATTTACTCTTATAACAGAGTTTTTATTGAAAGCCTGGCAGTTACATGTATTTGGTCGGTTATCGGCAGACCTGGTGGCGGGGACTCTGACAGAGTCCCCGGCTACCGGGGGCTGCAGCAGCGGCGCTGCAGTCTCACGGAGGTCCGATTCCAGCGACTGCATGCGGAGCTCTGTCACTCCGCGAGTCCGCGAGAGCGATGTGGGGCAGGCCATCAGATGCATTAACACCTATCAGCGGTTTACCTCTGCGCACATGATGTGAGAGACGATCTGCTTTTTACACTCTATTAACAGTGGCACGACAAAAACGGCAAACCGTAATCCCTCACCGGTCTAATGCGTCTGTGTGCGTATCCAAACAATCTTTACGCACAGGGACTGAACTGATCGAGCTTCTCCGTGCAGCACAGAAGCGTTCTTAGTTTGTTCGGTTAAACACACGTCTGTGGTGGCCGTGGCATCACTACTTTAATCCACTGTTATGTTACAGGTGGGCATGTATATACTTGTCTCAACCAATTTGATCTGAGAACTTGGAATAGCCTTAACCAAATAGTTTTTTATAAAATACAAATTACAACTAATTTTACTGAGGAACTCCCTTTAATGCGTTTTCAAAGAGGCTGACTGACACCCTGGTTCACTACAAGTAGTAATAATCTACATAATCTCACTGCTGCTGTTGGTTCGTCATCAAAAACAGACTTGGCAAAACCCTTTTTTATTTCCCCCCAAGGGCCACATTCTGCTTTGAGATACATCTGTGTGTGTTAAGGTGCAAAAAGAGGGGACTGAGAAAGTGCATGTCTGTGGAGAAGTTTGTTTTTGTATTGATTTAAGGCTTATTCTGGAGGCTAGCCGGGGGCTTTTGCAGATCTCATGACTTGGATTGAGTGGCCCGTCTGCCAAATGTTGTTTTGGAGAAACACAGCGTGCAGAGAGCACAGTGGAGGCATATACTCTGCATCACATTTCACCTTGAATGTGAGAAGATATGTACCATGGAACAGATTGGTCTGTGTGGATATTTCCATGTCAACTGAGACTTGGAAGTCAGAGCAGGCCTGTGTGAATAACCCGCTGGAGCCATACCACCTCTGTGAATGTGAAGGTTTTCTCTAATAACTGATAGCTGCTGGCACTGTATGTACAATTTACAACACTTCTGAGCCTGGTACTTTGTCATATGATCAACAGACAAAGCTGAGAGTCTTGTAACAGTGAAATTCATATGGAAACTGGTGTTCAGGGGGAAATGACAAAGTGTATAAATTCGGTTTCTGTTCCGTCTCCATTAGTCACCATTGTTTTTTTGAGCACAATCTTAATTTAACCTGAACAAAGTAGTTCTTCTTCTCATCATGATGTCACCAGTTCCATGACAATCTAGTAAAACCTTCAGTAATGTGTTCAAGTATGACAACCTGTTGCTATGTTTTTTTCCTTGCCAAAAAAAAAGGATTAACCATAGATTAACCTTAATTCTACCAGGGGGGACTCGATCAACTCTCCTCGACATCTCCCCCTGGTACACTGAGATCTACTGGAACACACACACATACAGAAACACACATGCTCAGCAGCAGGCTATACACAGGATTGAAGCTTCCTCAGCAGTAAACTTTTAGCAGATGCCTCTGCTCTGGTTGTCTCTGGAGAGATGAGCAAGGAAAGCATCGTCAGATTTAAAAAAAAAAAGTGTATATATATATATATATATAGCAAGAGACAGGAGGGAGGGATGGAAGTACAGTGGGGAGGAAGTAGAGGGGACAGGCGGAGGGAAAGCTGCGAAGAAGAAGAAGTGAAGCAAACGGAAGACTGGTTTTTTAGCCTCGCTGTTTGATCCTGTTTCTTCATTCTGTTTGATCACAGCTGTGCCTGGAAGGGAGATAAACGGACGTAATTGGCCACTCAAGACCAGCTGTCTGCCTCCATAGTGTCTCCTCTGAAATATGCAGCTTGATGAAACAGGCTCACTGTGATGCTCGCTGAAGTAGGAAGCCAGCAGTAGGATAAATTGCCCCACAGGTATTCACCAAGGGCTGCTTTATGGGACTGTTTTTATTCATGGCTCCCACCAGCCTGGTTTAAAAAGTCCGAGACAGAAGGAAGGAAATTTCTCCTCCATGTTTTGGGGTGAAAAAGTCACCGACCACTTATTGTACAGGTTCATCAATTCTGCACGTGATTGCATTTCAGTTATATGTGCTTCAGGCTACAGCATTTTTGCACAAAAATGGTCATTGTTGTGCAGAATTTAAAGACTTTTACGAACATACCAGTGTGAGCGTGATTGGGTTTTTAATGAATTTGAGATTTTCTAGCCTGCAGCTTTTTTCCTCCCACAGAACCAGGGGCTGTGCTGCCCCGTGGGGGTCAGCGCCTTGTAATAATTAAATATTACATTGGACCGGTTCATGGTGGCATTAATAAAGCAAACCATCCATGTCCTTATTTCACACAAAGAAGACTATACACACACCCAGCTTCAGCTCACTATATAATCAACTGACACAATTGCACAACATAATCACTTTGTATCAGGAAAAGAAAATCAATTGTGAGCATCATTAAATCCTAGAAACATGCGCTTAGCTGCATTTCTTTCTGTCACTGTAATTTTGTGTTTCCATGTATAATTTCTCAGTGCATATGGAGAAAGAAAAAGGGTAAACATACAGCAGTATATATTGGCAAGTCAAATAACAGTAAAAAAGAGTGAGTGAGTAAATGTTCAATATTAGCAGCAAAGTATATGAGCTGCCTATAAAAAGAAAGGACAATTAGTGAGTCTGGAATCAGCTTAGTCTTGTATGTTATCCTGTGCATTTCCCCATAATTTCATTCTAATTGTTTTAATTCCCATTTTCCCTTCTCTCTTCCTTCTGTGTTCGGATAATGACGACAGGAAATTATAATGTAAAGTCTGTTTGTGATGCTTCAACACGACCTGTAAACTCCCGTCCCGGCAGCAAAAGCACCTCGAGAAACAACAAAGCAATAAAGAGAGAAAAATGGAGCCGAGACCAAGGATGGAGGGCGAGAAAAAAAAAGATGGAGGGAGTAAAGAATCTTAAATGAGTTTTGGAGCACAAAAGAAAGAAAGGAAAGAAACAGAGAGAGCTTGAGAGGGCAATAGTGAAATAAGAGGAACGCAGCAGAGTGTGAAGCAGTTGAGTGGAGCCACCTGCAGTAAAGTAACCCAGATGTATTCCTCTGCTCTGTCAAGCACAGAAGGTCTTCTGGCTAATATATAGTATATCATCAATATGGACACTGATCATATACACAAAAATGGTTTTATATGTCACCATATTGGAATCATGGATGGCGAGGACAAACAGTTCTTCACAAAGAAAAAGATACTCTCCATCTCACATTAAAACTCTTTTGCTGTCACAATTAGACTGAAATCTCCGTGCATTAGACAGCTGAGTGTGTGAGTCTGACAGGTGACACGCTGCCGCAGACTTTCTACTAAACTGATTTCTTTTTAATCATCTCACAGGCAGCAGGTGCTTTCCAGCAGGTTTCAGAATTAAGGCTCATTCTTTCTCATCTCATGACTCAGACGGCTGCCATCTTTTTCTTTTGACCTTTTCTTATTCTTAAAACCCACCTGAGTAGAAATAAAGTCCCAGAAAATACAGTTAAAATAGCAATGTAACTTAAAAAAAACCCAAAAAATAAATTTGTGCATCAAATGGGAGGACATTGTTTGTTTTTTTTCAATTATACCAGTAATGGTGGCCTAACAGCGGGGCCGCTCCACTGATATCAACAACCTACATTAGACAATTAACCCTCTGCGCACTCTCTCTCTCTCTCTCCCCTTCCTTCTCTTTATGTCTCTTTCTCATCTGTAAAAGGGAAAGGACAATTACTGGGTCCAGCAGGATGTTCTAATTACAGTTATCATGTCATTAGTAAACTGCTAGTATTCTAGTGTCTTCACTGGCCATTGGTAATGACTGGAGTAATTAGGGAGGATGGGGAGATGTGAGGTGTGTGTGTGTGTGTGTGTGTGCGCGCACAGAACAAACGTCCTCAGAGGAAAGGGGAGATCATGAAAATCCTTCGAATTAGAGTATTTGCCTGTCCACACTTCTCTTAAAACCTGTGTGTGTGTACGTACCAGCTAAGCCTTCTGTGTCCTCTGTAGTCCCTCCAGAGCAGTGCCGTGCGAGGCCACAGTTTGTTTTCCCTTTTCTC